ATGTGGTGCTGAGGATCGAACCCGGGCTGCACACATGCCAGGCGAGCGCGCTACCTCTTGAGCCACATCCCCAGCCCCTCTATTTACTTTTAATAAATGTTAATAATGTTTAAATAATTAATAATTTTTAAATGTTTAATGTTTTTAAAATGTTAATTTTTATGTGTGCTTATTATGTATGTAATACATATTACTGTATTGTTTTGTTTTACTTTAAAAATAATTTTTTTTTTTGTACTAGGAATCGAAACCAGGGTTGGTTTACCACTGAGCTCCACATCTTTTTACTTTTTATTTTGAGATGGGGTCTTGCTAAGTTGTTGAGGCTGGTTTTGATCTTGCAATCCTCTTGCCTCAGCCTCCTGAGTCTCTGGGTTTACAGATGTCTGCCACCATGAGCCTGGCTCGCACTTTTTAGAAATATACATAGATTCATGGAGACATGCTCATAATTTTTAAAAAATTTGAAATTAAGAAATTTATTATTAAAACAAATTCTGTCAATAACAAAATAAGAAATAATACACCTGAAACCAAAATAAATAAAATTAAAACTTTATTGGGACTAAGAATGTTTACCAATAAATTGCACTATTAAACTTGTTAATTTTCCTTATACCAGAAAATCCCCTGATGAAACAGACCTGGTGTATGCACAGAACTAAACCTTAAAGGAGGCTTGATATAGTTAAAATGAATAGCACCAACTTAACAAACATTTTAGGATCCTAGTATAAGAATTTGATTTATATAGAACTAACAAAACAGATGTGGACTTCTCGTGGAATTTTGTAGTATTAGAAGCAGAAAATGAGTGTGAGGCCTATAATATAATAATTGGTAAAACGAGATGGGATGGTTATATGCCAAAATTAGCATAAAAACTTTTGAGAATTTAACATTTCTATACTTCTGTTTTTTGAAATTATTATATTGAGCCGGGCATGGTGTTGAATGCTGAAATTCCCTTGGCTTGGGAGACTGAGGCAGGAGGATCATGAGTTCAGAGCCAGCCTCAATTAACAGTGAGGTGCTAATAAGCACCTCAGTGAGACCCTGTCTCTAAATAAAAATACAAAATAGGCCTGGGGATGTGGCTCAGCAGTTGATTATCCCTGAGTTCAATCCCCAGCACCAAAAAAAAAACCCAAAAAACAAAAAACATGTATTCCCGTTGATAATAAAGACATAGGAAAGAAAATCATAAATTTTGGAGGTTTTTTTTTTTTTTTTTTTGTACTGAGGATTGAACATAGGGCCTCCTAACCACTACGCCACATCTTCAGCCCTTTTTATAGTTTTTTTTAAAAATTTCGAAACAAGATCTTGCTAATAAGTTGTTTAGGGCCTTACTAAGTTGCAGAGGCTGGCTTTGAACTTGCAATCTTCCTGCCTTAGGCTCTCATGCCACTGGGATTACAAGTATGCACATTACATCTGGTAAATTTTGGAGTTTTAATGCCTTTATATGAATTTCTGGTTTTGGTAGTTAGCATAAAGTCTGAAAATACATGATATTTAATAAATGTTTTTGTTAGTGATCAAGATACAATGCAATTTGTAGCTTTAGAATTTGTACAGAAATTAAGTTGAAAAGACTGTTAGTGAAACACTAGCAGATATATTTTTTGAAAGATTCAATAATTATGTTTTCTTTCTTTTTTAATTAGATCTTTATGGCTATACATAGTAGTTGGGTTCATCCCAACAAACTCGGGCATGCATGGACATTGATTTCAGTCCATGATCTCCCCTTTCCCTCCCATCCTCCCCACTCTATCCTCATACTTTTCTTCCTGATTTGGAGTCCAGAGCTTTACAGTGGGAAAAAATTGGGGAATATTGAGCAGAAGAATGTAGATTAGATTTCAGTGTTAATGACATCAGTTAGGAGACATGAGAGGATTTAGGCACTGAGGATTTTATCCACTTTTGTGACTATTTTGTTTTGATTTAAATTGCCTTAAATTATGACTGGAGGTTATAAAATAATTAACTGTGGCCATGAAACCCTTGAAAGTGTCTCAAAACTTAGCCACATAATCTAGCAATAGATTATCTCCAGGTGAAACTAATTTTTGTTTGACTGCTTTGAATAAGAACGGGATAATGAACTGTCTACATGAAATGCTTTACATTTAGTGGTATAACTAACACCATGATTTGGCAAATGTTGTCCTACAAAATATGCTTGATTCCATTGTTCATTATAGTTTTGTGGAATCCCCATGGAGGATTATTCCTGTAAGTAATATGTTAAAATGCATACAGGTAAACAGATTCTTAGGATAAGTATACCCGATATTTCCTCATTGTTGAAATAAATAGTTTACATTTTTTGTTTTGTTGTTTAAAGCAGAGAAATCTCCAGTTTTTTGAATAGTAGAGCCCTCTGTTACTTTCCAGTTCTGAGTTCTGTGTTAGTATGTGATAAATTACTTAACAAAGTCAGTGTGAATTTAATAAATAAATTACTTAACAGTCAGTATGATTAAATAATAGATTCAAATGACTGTTTTCTAATCTAAGTAGCATCTGTGAACTTCAGACAGATAAGTGTATGTGTGGGTTGGGGAGGTAGGTAGCTCCGTGGTAGAGCGCTTCCCTAGCATTTCTTAGATCCCCAGCACTGCCAAAAAAAAAAAAAAGTGTACATGCAGTTGACATTTGCTTAGCCTTTGTATAAAATATCTCAAGACAACTTACGCTTTTATTAGTTTCTCAGGCCAGGAGAAACTGGCTGTTCTCTGTCTTTTGAGAATTTAGTAATGTGATTTAGACGTTGCATTAGTTTTCAGGGTTTTCTTGACAAATCACTACAACTAGATGCCTCTAAAATGACTGATTTTTAACATATGGTTTAACATATTGGTTACATTTGTAATACCATCCTTGTTTAGTTTGAATGAAAGAGGTGTTTGTTCCTTATCTACAATGATTTTTTTTTTTTAATTTTAGAGCTATGCTAGTGAAAAGCTGAATGAATAGAGCAGGGATAAATTTTAGTTTTTCATAGTTTTGATTAAATTATGTAGAGTTAGACATAGCAATGTTCTACAAACTTAAATCTCTATTCTCAATATTTATCATTTTTATTGAGACCCACCTCCTAGTTTTTCTATCTTTGTGTACCAGTGAGTAGCCGTTTTAGTAATATATACAACTTCTTATTTAAAAGAAATTTTTTTTTTAGTTGTTGTTGGACCTTTGTTTTATTCATTTATTTATATGCAGTGCTGAGAATCTAACCCAGTGCCTCGCACATTCTAAGCAAGTGCTCTACCACTGAATCACACACAACCCCAGCCCTACAACTTATTTTGACAGAATATTAAAAAAATTTGTATATATATATATATATACACACACACACATATATATTTATATATTTATATATGTGTGTGTATATAGATGTATACACACACACACACATATATATATTTTTTTGCTGAGCATTGAACCCAGGGCCTTGCCTTCACGTGGTAAGTGTGCTCTCTACCACTGAGCCTATACCCCCAACTAACAGGATCTTCTAATGAGTCTTTATTTCATTTCTCATTGCAAAATCCTCCTTTTCTTTATGTTATATAGGTATCAATCTGACTTTTAATGTAAGTTTGTTAAATAAGTTCTTAAGGAAAACTTTTCTAAAGGATCTTTAATATAACTTAACTTTGAAGTTGTTTTTTAGATGAATAGATACGTAGATGAACTAACTACGTATTTTAGCAGGAATTTCAGGATGTTTTGGAAGTAATCATCTACTAAAGAGATTGGTTGGGGGAGTGTGGTTTTCCTTCCCCTCAAGTTTTGGTGTTCCTCACCAAGGGATATACCGCTAATAAGACTTCGAAAACTACACTGAATGATACTATTCTTCTACTTACCTGAATCTTAGGCAGAGTGGTTGCAGTGTAGTTTACAAAGCTTATTAAAAGATTTGTCTATAGAATTCACAGAGGTTGATCAGACTAAACATTAAACACATTGCTAAACAAGTTTTTCCTCCTTTAGCCTATTTATGAGCATTTAGCATTATGCAAAGAAGACTGATTCTGTAGTACACACATATATAATTTACATAAATATATATATATATAATTTTGGGGTTTTGGTACTGAGGATTGAACTTGACACTTTACCACTGAGCTATGGCCCTAGCCCTTTTTATTTTATTTTATTTATTTTTTAAATTTTGAGATGGGGTCTCACGAACTTGCTGAGGCTGTCTTTGAATCTGCAATTCTCCTACCTCAGGCTCCTGAGTTGCTGGGATTATAGGTGCATGCCTAGCTCTCTACTACTTGCATGTATTATCTTAGTTTAATTTAATAGCCATGAAGGTATTTTATTTTATACAAGGAAACCTAGGCATAAAGACATGGAAGTTGTTTGTGGTGTGCTATGTCTATAAAATGGTGGGTTTGGTAGTCAAATTTGGTAGTCATAACAGAATTTTTCTGGTCCTCCCTTCCTCTTTATGATTCATTCTTTCATTTGTGCACGTTATAGAACCTAGGGTCTTGATGCATACTAGACAAGGCAGTCTTTCACTGAGCTATACCCCAGCCCTCTGTTCTTTCTGCTATTTTCCCATATGTACTCTTGGGTCTCTAAATCAGAAAGCTCAGATAGCCACTATTGTGTTGATTCTTCAATCTTCTGGAAATAGTACTGAGTAGATGAGGAATTAAGGAATGGGTTAGGGTGTTTGTGTATAAATGAAGCGTCCATTGGAAAAAATGGATCAGTTGGTGCAATCTCTGTCAAAGATTCTCCCTTGCAATTCCTTTATTTATTCATCTTTATCAGAAAGATACTTATCCAGTTTAGCTATCATAATTTGAAACCTTTGCAAAATTTTGCCTTTTAAGTAGATTACACATTTTTTCAGGCCTTTCAGAATTAGTACCCTCCTAAATGATAGACTTTACTGCTTATTGTAGTCTCTCTTTACAGCTAAAAATGTGGGAAATTGAAATAATTGTTTTTCTTTCTAGATTAACTGCTGAAGTACTGATCGAGTTCTGCGTTTCTTCAATGAGGAACTACAGGCTGATCTTCTGCCATAATCTTAAACAACCATAAATGACAAAAGAATGCTTGCTCAGTGAGGGTAGCTGGTGCAGAAGCAATTTTTTAAACTTAGGTGTTTAAGTACTCAAAGGTAAGTTTTAAAATGGTACCATCTCATGCTCTATAAATTCAGAGATTTTAGAAGTTTGCCCTCTATAGCTGCCATTTTTTTAATAGTATCAGTTTGTCTTATAGCTGCTATAAGGAGTGTTGAAGAATGGATGCTGCTTGTCCAAAACTATGTAAATTTATGTCTTTTTCTTGTCCCTAAATGAATTTCTACTGTAACTATGAATTGGCTGGGTTGTTTCCTAATCATGTTGTAATCTTCTCTTGATGTAGGAGTATACAGTTGATCCAGTGGGTCTTATATTGGTGAACTTTAGAATCTTGAGAAGATACATATTTGTTATCTATAGTGTCTTTTTTCATTATAAAAAGGTCTTTCTTTTAAAATTCTCCTTTCCTACATAAAATAATAAATGTTTATTGAATGAATCTTTATGGACCACTACTTTGTTTGGTACCAGGGCACTGGAGCTCTGAGCCACATCCCCAGCCCTATTTTGTATTTTATTTAGAGGCAGGGTCTCACTGAGTTGCTTAGTGCCTTGCTGTTGCTGAGACTGGCTTTGAACTTGTGATCCTCTTGCCTCAGCCTCCTGAGCCGCTGGGATTACAGCTGTGCACCATTGTGCCCAGCTTGACTACTATTTTTTTAATGCACAAATGATTGGAGCCGGTCACCTGAGGCATTATTTCCTCCTATTGCTTCGTTACTGATCCTAGTTCCTAGAAAGTTAAGGCAAATAAGTATTTCTTCTGAATGAGACTGATTCTGGAATTTTTTTTTTTAAATGTGTTATAGCTGCTTTGTCTTGTTGAAATAAGAGCCAATTAATCTTGTTCTTATTAGCCCATCATTTCTAAAAAGTGATTCTCGCCTGTTTGGGTGTTTACAAATTGAGGGCTTAGATGAGCTTCATATAGCAGATTCCAGAGGTGGATTAGGTTTGACTTTTTACCTGTTTCATTAATAAGGTTGGTTAGTAAAGGTCTTTCAGAGCAAGATTTGTCCCTTAATTTGTCTTTGGAACATTAATGCTTGTTGCTGAATTTTGGATGATCAGTTTTGCCATTTGTTATTAAATGTGCAAACACTAAAAGCATTCAGAACTAACTTCAGAGTAGAGAAAATGCTTTCATAATTGTATTGAGTCAAATTTATTTGTAGAATTTATCATTGGTCGGTAACTGGAATATATTTAAATAGATGAAAACACATTCAGGTGTAAAGCATTTTTCTTTAATGTATACAGTCATATTGCCACTTGTTAATCATTATAGTCTTTTTTTTTTTCCCCCTTGTCTTTCATTTGGCAGAAAAGACAGCTTTGATTTCTGGCTGCAAAAAAGATATGAGGAAGAGCTCCTCCCCTTCCTTGAGTAACTGCAACTCCGTTCTTGCTAACAAAATATTTGGAATTCCACTTGATGAGCTGCAGCAGGGAGGACATCCAGACAATGAGGTTCCGTTCATAGTCCGCCACGTTGTGGACTATATTGAGGAACATGGTATACATTTTCTTACTTTGAGGGCTAGCTTTTATTTTAATAAACACAACTTATCCCTCTTTGATCTTGGCTTAAAAATTTTTTTTGGTATGAAAAGTGCAAAACTGGATAAACAATAGAAATTCTTTTTAAGGTTTTAACATATGTTTCTTAAATTCATATACCTAGAAATGATGGTTGCTCAGCCTGGAACATTTTTTAGTGGGGGTGATAGAAATATTTTTAATGAATATAAGGGGTGGGATGAAATAGAATATCCCTCAGAGATAGTGTGTTTCTAGGTGATTGATTTGACAGTTTTAATGAAAATCTGGGGAGCCAAGAAAGGCTTTCCAAAAGTATTAAGTATTTCAGGTTGATTGTAGAATGCATATATATGGTCAAGTAGTTGAAGTTGCAGCATTTTTAATTTTTGCTTTGAACTAATGTAGGCGGTCTGGAGCAACAAGGACTTTTTCAAGTCAATGGAAATGCTGAGACAGTGGAGTGGCTTCGGCAGAGATATGACAGTGGAGAAGAGGTGGATTTGGTTAAGGAAGCAGATGTTCCCTCAGCTATTAGTCTTCTTAGGTTTTTCCTTCAAGAACTTCCTGAACCTGTTATTCCTGGCAGTTTGCATATTCACCTGATGCAACTTTCTCAAGGTAAAATAATTCTTGTTAATCAGTTATTAATTTCAGAATCCTGGCCTTTTAGAAGTTTTTTTTTTGGGGGGGGGGGAGGGAGGTTTGCTGAGAATTGAACCAAGGAGTGCCTTACTTCTGAGCTACATCCCAGCCCTTTTTATTTTGAGACAGGGTCTTGCCAGTTTGCTTAAAGGCCTTGCTAAATTATTGAGACTGGCCTCAAAGAACTTGTGATCCTCCTGCCTTAGCCTCCCAAGTTGCTAGGAATACATATATAGTATTTCAGAGGTTAATTTCTTGTTTTCTCATTTGTTCTTTTGGGTTCCATGGTCTAGACAAGGAGATGGCAACTTCTTGGATCCCTAGTATTTTTTATTATTTTATGATTTTGTTAAACCAAAGTTAGAGGCAAAAGAGAAGGAGGAAAAGGATGGTATTACCTGTTTAGTCTTTTGGGAAGGTGATATATCTCTCCATTTATCATAGGTAAATATTGTTATTGTGTATTCATTCAGCTAACTCAGCTATTCATTGAATACTTTTTTTTTTAAATATTTTTTTTTAGTTTTTGATAGACCTTTATTTATTTGTATGCGGTGCTGAGAATTGAACCCAGTGCCTCACACATGCCAGGCAAGTGCGCTACGACTGAGCCACAGCCCCAGCCCCACATTGAATACTTTCTCTATGCTAGACACTATTCTAGATGCTGGTAATGCATCACTAAACAAAACTAGTTAAAAATCTCTGCCCTCATGGAGCTAAAATTTTAAAGGGGAGGTAGAGGAAAAATAGATGATAAACAAAATTATGTGATTATGATACAAGATGATAAATGGCTATGCAACTGGAGAAGATGTTAGGTAGAATTTGTGTTGGTATAATCATTATATAATATTAATTGCTTATATTTCTTCTGGCTTATAATTTTCTTGTTTTTTTATTTTAATAAACACAACTTATCCCTCTTTGATTATTTTCTTAAAGAACTCTTTTCTGCTAAATGCTTAGGTTGTTAAATTTAATTTTCTACCACTTACATGTACAGGGATTTAAAACACATTAATCCAGGGACAGTTCTATTCAATTACAAGATCAAAGTACTGGCCCATTTGAATGGACACTTGGTAATATTACAAAGCATAAAGTTGTTATTGATTGCATTTTTAATGCCCCCCTTTATTTTATTTATGTGGTACTGAGGATCAAACCCAGTGCTTCACACATGCTAGGTAAGCACTCTACCACTGAGCCACAACCCAGCCCACATTTAAAATTTTAAGTAAAGTTCACATGACTATCATCTTTCCCTGATAAACTTTTTAGATTTGCAGAGATAGACAGTATCATGACTGTGGCCTTTTATATGTATATGTATATGTACATGTATATGTGTGTATGTGTATGTGTATATATATATATATATATGTTGTTGATGGACCTGTATTTAACTTATTATATGCGGTGCTGAGAGTTGAAGCCAGTGTAATTTTGCAGAGATGGACATTTTCATGACCATCACTTTTTTTTTTTTTTGTAGTTGGTGATAGACCTGTATTTAATTTATTTATATGTGTTGCTGAGAATTGAGCCCAGTGCCTCACATATGCTAGGCAAGCACTCTACCACTGAGCTACAATCCCAGTCTGTGACCATAGCCTTTTACCAAGTTTTTCTGTGCTGGGCAATGATATTGACCAAATTATGTTGTTATATTGTGTGTATGTACAAATGTGTAACAACAAATTCCATCATTACATACAACTAGAATGCACTCATAAAATATGTGTGTGGGGGGAGTTTTTCTGTAAGTTAATTTTCAGGACCTGCAGAAATATACAAGATGAAATACTATTGGATTGATATTTGCTACTGGAGAAATTCTTTATTTTGAGAGTATCTTTGAGAAATTACCCATTGTCAACGGGACTTGAGATAAATCCCTGGGATTTAGTAGCCTGCTTTATGTTAGTGAAAACTTATTGACATGAAAAACACAAGGACTTGCTTCAGTGATAAAATTTACTTTTTCTGGGGGTGGGGGGGTGGTACCAGGGATTGAACTCAGGGGCACTAACCACTGAGCCCCATCCCCAGCCTTATTTTATTTTATTTAAAGACAGGGTCTCACTGAGTTGTTTAGTGCCTTGGTTTTTTTGAGGCTGGCTTTGAACTCTCTCTTGACCCTCCTGCCTCAGCCTCCTGAGCTGCTGGGATTACAGGTGTGCGCCACTGCACCCTTCTCACTTTGTTTTTTACTTTATTTATTCTTTTGCGATATTGGTGTTGGAACCAGGAGTGTTCTACCTCTTAACTACATCCCCAGTCCCTTTTTATTATATTTTGAGACTGAGTCTTGCTAAGTTGTGGAAGGTGGCTTCCATCTTGCTATTCTTCTACTTCAACCTTCTGAATTGCTGGAAATACAGGCCGTGCCACCGTGCCTTATTAAGTTCCCTTGTTAAGAAAGAAACTGGCATACAGGGGCACAGTGGCTTATGCTTATATCCCAGCAACTCAAGACACTGGGAGACTGAGGCAGGAGGATTGCAAGTTCAAGGCCAGCCTGGGCAACTTAGCCAAGTTCCTATCCCAAGATAAAAAGGGCTGGGGAGCCCCATTTCAGTAGTAGAGTACTTGTATAGCTTGTGTGACACTCCGGGCTCAATGCCACCCTAACCCAGCATCTATTTAGGGGAGAAAACTAGATGAGACACAGAAGACCTTTTAATTTAGTTCTGTTGATAATATTGAAGTTAATTGTTCTTTCAGAATGTCAGGGGGAAGAAGAAAGATACATTGTCTTCTTGTGTTCATTCCTTGTTTTCTTTTTCATTCAAGTGGAAAAATATCACTGATACTATTAGTTTGTTGAATTGCATCTCTACTTTCCTCATTATTAGTTTGCATTAACTAGCATGGCCATTGTTTTTTGACTTCTTATATTTGGTACTAGTTTGGAAAAACAGGTATAGTCATGCAAGAGACAGTATGATGAGTACTTTTTAAAAATTAGAAAATTAAGGCCAATGAGTAATAGGTGAGGAAAAATCCCCTAGCAATTGAAAGCTTGAGTTCCTTTCTCCACCTCCTCCTTTCCAACACTTCTCCTACTTAATAAGTGAAATGCAAAGCCCTAAGGCATTTGGCCTCTAGTAGAGGAAGTGAAGAAGTTTTTGAGTTATTATAGTAAAAAGGTGATGTGGGTGGAGTAATGTGAATCTGGCAAAGTATCTGAGCTTTACTTTTTACTTCATTAAGAAAATCTGTCATTATATTTTTATAGATTATAATAATGAAGATGAATTTGGAAGAAAGTTGAGATTCCTCTTGCAACAGCTTCCACCTGTTAATTACAGTTTATTAAAGTTTCTGTGTAGATTTTTAGCCAATGTAGCATCACATCATGAAGAAATTTGGTCTGCAAATTCTTTGGCTGCTGTCTTTGGTCCAGATGTCTTTCAGTAAGTTCTTTCACAAATATTTGTTTAGTTTTTAAAAATGGGTTTGTGGAAGGAGAAGCATTATATTTTCTCTCAAAGATCATAGGATACTTGAGGAACCATTATCTTTTATAGTAGATCTGATTAATCCTTGCATCGTTTTTATAAACAGTACAAATTAGGTAGGTTTTACAGATGGGAAAACTGAGGCACAGAATAATGCCGTAAGTTGCTCAGGTTTATAAGGTGACTCATTGGTTCTTTTCTAACTTTATGATTAATTTAATAACTCTCAATGTGGACTTTTCTTCTCAGCATTTACACAGATGTGGAAGATATGAAAGAGCAAGAAATTGTGAGCAGGATAATGGCGGGACTTCTGGAAAATTACTATGAATTTTTTGAAAATGAAGAGGAAGATTTTTCATCAAATGATTTGAGCTCAATTACAGAACAGGTGAGAAATTTTAAAATTTATTTGAAAATGAGAATTTTTGTTTTTAAGAATATTCTCTTTATGAGTTGCCATAAGCTTACACAGAATTTAAGTACTGAACTGGAGATGGTTCTCTTGATTAAAATATAGTCAGTAGGGTTTTTTTTGTTGTTGTTGTTGCCTCTGAACAACTTTCTGTCTTCCATTTGGGCAATAGGGAAAAGTCATTTAGTTTCTATTTTAGTTTTTGCAGTGCTAGGGATTGAACCCAAGGCCTCAGGCATGCAGGCAAGATCTCTATCAGTGAACTGCATCCCAACCCTTTACAGACTCTCAGAAATTTGAAATTTTTCTGGATTAAAATAACAGATCAAGATAGTATTGTAATCGTTCTCATTAATGGAAAGCATCTGGAAATTCATAGGTTAAGTTAGATAATTTTTTAATTCTGTTGACTCTGGAATATCAAAATCCATTTCCAAATGGTGTGGTACTGCATGCCTATAATCCCAGCGATATGGGAGGCTGAGGCAGATGGATCACAAGTTTGAGGCCAACTTTAGCAATTTAGTAAGACCCTGTCTCACCTTTTTATTTTTGAATAAAAAGCTGGACGTGGGCCTGGGTTGTGGTTCAGCAGTAGAGCGCTCTCCTAGCATGTATGAGGCACTGGGTTCAATCCTCAGCACCACATAAAAATAAATAAATTAAAGGTATTGTGTCCAACTACAACTAAAAAATATTGAAAAAAAATTTAAAAAGCTGGACATGGTAGAGCACTCCTGCAAGCCCAGCGGCTCACAGGGCTGAGGCAGGAGAATTGCAAGTTCAAAGCCAACCTCAGCAACTTAGCAAGGCCCTAAGCAATTTGGCAGGACCTGGTCTCAAAATTAAAAAGAAAAAGAAGAATGGGCTGGGGATGTGGCTCAGTGATAAAGGACCTCTGGGTTCAATCCCTAGTAAACCCCCTCCCCTGAAAATAAAAGGGGGAAAAATATATTTCTAAAGCTATTTTTTGTTCTTTGTTGTTATTACTATGCTCTGATGACTAGGTTGAGACTGTTCAAGGATCCTGTTTGCTTTTTTCCTTTCTGAAATGAGAATATTGAAGCTGAGTATTTGCACTTAGGTGGTTTGCCACCAAACTTCTGTTAAGTAAAAACTGTGAAGTTATTTATATTTGAGGTGGGGTTGATACTTTATTCTTTTATGGATAATAATGTACCTGGTTTAAAAAAAAGGTAAAATATACTGTTCCCTGCTCTACTACTGATTTCTGATGTTTTCCCAGAGTATTTTAATGTAAATACAGGTACATATCTTCTCAGTTTTAAAAAAAATTTTTTAAATTTTTTTAGTTGTCAATGAGACCTTAATTTTATTTATTTATATGTGGTTCTGAGAATTGAACCCAGTGCCTCTCATGTGCTAGGCAAGTTTGTTACCACTGAGCCACAAGCTAGCCCTTGACTCAGGGTTTTTTTGTTTTTTTTTTTTAGTTGTCAATGGACCTTTATTAATTTATTTACATGTGGTGCTGAGAATCAAACCCAATGCCTCACGCGCTAGGCAAGCGTTCTACCACTGAGCCACAACTCCCAGCCCCCTCTCAGTTTTTTAACAGAAAAGTAGGATAGCACTACACTGATCTGTACCTTGTTTTATATCACTTAATAGTATGTCTTGTAGATTTTTCTTATCAGTATATAGAGAGCATGTTATTTTATTTTTACCTCTGTGTAATTTCTATTGTATAGATAGAATTTTAGCATTTGATTTTATAGTCCTATTTCCACTTGAAAAGGTTTTCTCAGAACAGTTCTGGTTTATATCTATTTCTAGTATAATATTTAGTAACTCCAGCTGTCACTGTCAGATGTGTCCAGGTTTTAATGATAAATTGTATGACTATACTATTTGTTTAAATGAATGAATTACATTTTATTTATTTATTTTTGCAGTACTGGGGAATGAACCAGGAGCATTCTCTCTCTGAATAATATCCTTAGCTCTTTTTTAGTAATTTTGAGACAGAGTCTAAGTTATCCATGGTGGCCTCAAACTTAAAATCCTCCTGCTTTAGTCTGTCCAGTAACTGGAAATATAGATGTGCATCATCACTCTTAGGTACATACTATTAGGTGGTGGACATTTGGGTTGATTCCTTTTCTTTGGCTGCAATATTAAAGTAGCAGCTCTTGAAAGGTAGTTTATTATACAGATTGTCTTTTTTTTTTTTTTTTGTGGGAGGTAGTGCTTGGGATAGAACCCAAGGCCTTGTATATGCTCGCAAAGCACTCTGCCTCTGAGGTCTATGTCCAGCCCCATCATACAGATTTTCATTATTTCTGATAGTTCTTGTATATGATTGTGTGAATTAGGAGTTTTATTTCTGAGTACTTATAACTTTTTTGTGTGTATGGGATGTGGGGTACTGGGGATTGAACTCAGGGGCATTCGTCCACTGAGCCACATCCCAGGCCCTACTTTGTTTTTTATTTAGAGACAGGGTCTTACTGAGTTGCTTAGCATCTTACTTTTGTTGAGGCTAGCTTCGAACTCGCTATCTTTCTTCCTCAGCCTCCCGAGCCACTGGGATTTACTTATAGCTTTTGTTTAAAAGATTTTCTATTCTTTTGTAAACTTTTACTTTTTAACATTTGGGGTTCATACCTTCCTTAATTTTTAAGGTGAGCATTTTAATCTTTCGTTTTTCCTTCCCTTTCTCTCTTTTCCCCTTATTCTCTTCTGAATTCCTTTCCTTTTTTTTTCCTTTTTCTGTTTCTGCCTTTCCATCTCTATCTTTCAAGTCTCAGTGACTTTAAAGAAATAGTAACAGATGCCAGATAGCAGTCTGTAAGCTGAGAATGAAATCTCTGTGTGTGTATGTATAAATGGGTAGAATTTATGACCTGAACCAGTGATATTTAGACTTGACTTTTCTTTCTTTCTTTTTTTTTTTTTTTTGGTAGTGGTTATTAAACCTAGGGCATTTTACCACTGAACTACAACCCCAGCCCTTTTTGTGTGTGTGTGTGTGTGTTTTTCTGTGAGACAGGGTCTTGATAAGTTGCTGAGGTTGGTCTTGGACTTGTGATCCTCATTCCTCAGCCTCCCAAGTCACTAGGATTACAGGCATATGCCACAGTTCCTGGAAGTATCTGAGGATTGAACCTAGGGCCTTTTTTGTGCTAGGCAAGCACTTTGCTACTGAGGTATTATTTCCAACCACTTGATACTTTTTTTTTTTGGTACTGGGTATCAAACACTGGACTACATCCCCATCCCTTTTAAATTTTTTTTATTTTGTGACACAGCCTCATTAAATTGCCCAGGCCGGTCTTGATCCTCCTGCCTCAACTCCCAAGTAACTGGGATTATAGGCATGTACCATTGTGCTGAATTCCTTGATATATTTTTTTGAAAGTTTCCAGTTGTCGTATATAGTTCCTGACTTAAAAATTAAAGAACTAATGTTTCTCTTCTAAATTATTCTTGCTTAGGACGTGGGATGTAGCTCACTTGCCTAGTACTTGCCTGGGTTTAATTCCTAGTACCACCAAAAAAACCCTAAAAGATTAGAACTACTATCCAAATTATTCTTGCTTAAAAGAAAATGACAAGAAGATGACAAGTAGATAGATGTGCTTTAAACCTTAATGTATTTCCATGCCTGTAAGTAATCCCATCTGTTGAGAAAATTTGCATGTCATCTTTTTGTTCTTAAATTGTGTCTTAAGTCAGCATTTTTTTAGTAAATTAATGGCTGTTCAAAGTGAAATAATATACATATTTGAGTCACTAATTTTCTACATTTCTAAGATGATTTAACTTGTGAGAAATTGGTAATGCCAATTTGACCCAATGTCTTGACTCCTAAAATCTACAAGATATGCCTTACGTTTTATATTGTGGTATAATTATCATGTGGTTTCCTGATGTTGCTGAAATATATCTGTAGCTTATTTGTATTGCATCAGTGATTTTGTATTTTTTAAGCAGTAGTAAAATTGACTTAACATGTATTGTTTTATGTTAGAGTGAATTCTGCAGATTTAGCCATGGATATGAAAGAACATTTTTAGCTTTTTGAGTAGAATATGCCCAAGTAAATGGGATTGTGCCAGGGGTCCTAAGTGATTGTGATATGTGTGTGTGTGTGTGAGATATATATATTTAATCTAATCTTTGACTCATGTTGCTAATTACCAGAATTCATTTTCTTAACTATTTTTATTAATTTCTGAGTTAAAATGGGTTGCAAGTAACAAAAGTAGAGATTGTAAAGTTTGGTCTTTTTAAAGCAGATTTGATAAAGTAGATTTGTGTAGCAGAATGATCTGATAGTGTAATTCTCTGAAAGTAGATGAGTGAAATAAAATATCCTCACACTTAGCATAATTTGCTTGTGTGTTTTGAGTTGGTCTAACTTAAACGTTCCTAATGTCTTATTCACATATTTAAAGATGTAGGGAAACATGGCCCATCTGGCAGTGCTTTGCTTTTTCTCCTGATTTTGTATTTGAAGGAAGCAAAAATTTATGTAGCACTTCTTTTGGCATTTCATTCCACTAATACAAGTATTTGGCTGTTAAAATCCTGTCAGGGTGGTAGATATTTTTATTAATTACATGAGAGAGATGATTGGAGATGATTAATAGGTAGTGTTAAAAAAATGACACAGAGTCTAGGTGGACTTTATATGGAATCCTTAAATGAATACAAATCCAGTATAGTGATTTGAAGATGGAGGTGATAATAATGTTTCTTTGTACATTTGAGAAGGCAGGTAGCAGCGTTCTCCACAAACTGGAGTCTGGAGAGCAGGCATTTCACGAGGCCCTAGAGAAGGGAATTACAGCAGTCAAAGAAAGAAGAGATGTAAGTATGGATGAGGTTTTTCCATAAGTGAAGTTGAGGCTGCTGCATACAGAGGGCAAATTCAAAGTAACAGAATAGGGTGTTGGTAAGAAGGTCAAGTTGACCAGGCAAAGATCAAGAAAAACTTTGAGGATTCATGTGAAAGAGCATTTTACTCTAATGCTTACTCTTTTTAAAAAATATTTTTTTTTTAGTTATAGATGGGCACAATATCTTTATTTTTGTGTAGTGCTGAGGATTGAACCCAGTCCTCACACATGTGAGGCAAGTGTTCTACCACTGAGCTACAGCCCCAGCCCTAATGCTTAGTCCTGTTCAAAATAATTGAGTTGAATTCTTATAGAAGAAATTACATTAGAAGGCTGGAAGTTGGATTTGGGGAGAAGGAAAAAACACTAGATATTGTTCACGTCGTATCTTAGTATACTATTGGTAAAAAAATACCGGAGAATGTCAATTTATGTAAAACTTATTGAATATAATGTAATCAGTATAGTGGAGTAGTCTTTTAAGTTCTTAAGATCTATTGGCTGTAGGATCAAAATGATTTTAAAAAGTGTAATGTAACATATTACAATAGTAGTATCTATATAAAAAATGTGTGGACTGAATAAGTATTTATTCTCAGTTTAAAAAGCCATCTTTATTATTTTTTTTGATACTCTGCAGTTGTATTCAAACTTATTATTCAGCTGCAGTCATTCCCATTTTATAGTTGTGAAAACAGTATTTTCCCCTTCAGTATTTTTCTTGCTTAGGTTACCATGTTAATGTGTCTTAAGTACATTCTCTTGACTTTCACTAATAAATTAAATACGTAGATGAGAAAGAAGGATAATTTTAATTCTTTTAAAATTTTTTTTAAATATTTATTTTTTAGTTGTAGGTGGACACACAATCTTTATTTCATTTTTATGTGGTGTTGAGGATCGAACCTGGTACCTCATGTGTGCTAGGTAAGCACGCAACCACTGAGCCACAACCCCAGCCCAAATTCTTTAAAAATTGATTTGTCATTTTGAATTTTCATCTTTGTGTATAAATTATTTTTTTCTTTTTCTCTTAGTGATACCAGGGATTGAACATATGCAACATGCTAGGCAAGTGTTCTACCACTGAGCTATATCCCCAGCTTCCTTTGTGTATAAATCTTAACTTCTTGATTAATAACCACTTAGGCCAGTGATTATCAGTTTTTCCCATCATAGTTGTACATGACATGTGATAGATGAGGGGTGACATTTGCAAGCATAACAAACTTAGCAATCTGTTGCATATACTTTATATATGAAGTAAATAGTTTACAAAATGAGGTCATAAATTGTTAGAAGGGTCACTAAAAATTAATTACTGACTAATGACTTTGATACACCAATGGTTTAGAGCTTTTGCTTATGGTTTAGATGGTCATTCTCTTCCTGCTGAAGTGTTTACATGTATTGTTTAATCCTTTCAATCCAGTTCTGTGAGGTAAGTAGTATAATATCTATATTCACTCATTCCTTGTAGCCACTATAACTTCTCCAAGTCTTAGGTATGAAATGGAAATATTATACTACAGTTTTTTCTGCCTCTGAAGCCTTTTAACTATCATGTTATACTTTAGATAGTCAATGTGTTTTTGATTAGGAATATCAGCATAATTAACTCTTTGGTTGCAGTTTTACTTTCTGACAGCATTCTACCAACTGTATTTGTATGTCCACCAAGTAAAATACCACTAATATATGTAGTAACTAAATTTATTCTAGATATGTCCATTGTGTTTGGCTAGAATGGACTGGAAGTGTACTTAAAAAAAATATTGGTCCTGGGGATTGAATGTAAGGCCTTGCACATGATCTACCTCTGAGCTATACCCATAGCCCCCAAAAGTATACTTTCTTGCTTATATTTTTAATGACAAGTATTTGCTTATAAACTCTAAATAAAATACAAAATAGGGCTGGGGATGTGGCTCAGTAGTTGAGTGACCACAAGTTCAATCCCAGTTACCCCCTCCCCAAATGGATATTATGACCATGTATAGGTAATTTCTTCTTTGGGATAACTTCAAAATATTTCTCATTCAAAAATATTTAACTGATTTTCCTTCTTGAGTATTTTAGTGTGTTTTTATTAGAATAATTTCCTAATAGAGCCAGTTTGATGTTGGAAAACATTTTATAACTTGTGCTTAATGGTCAAAATCCAAGTTCTTCCTTGTTACAGTTCCAATTTATTTATGAAAAATTTAATCTGACTCATTTAGAAGTTTGCTGACAATTTCTAAAGCATAGCTAATACCTTAATGCAAAATTTTTGTGCCTTTCTATTTTCACACTTACTGTGTATTAAAATGACTTGTTTACTATACCTGGAAACCTGATAAAATAGAAGTCTTTTGTAACTAATTTTTAAAAAAAATATTTTTAGTTGTCATTAATCTTTATTTTGTTTATTTATCTCTGTGTGGTGCTGAGAATCAAACCTAGTGCCTCACATGTGCTAGGCAAGCACTCTGCCACTGAGCCACAACCCAGCCCCCTTTTTGTAACTATTATATTTACAAAACCAGTTAGAAAATGAAGCTTTCTTAATGTTAACTACAATGTGCAGGATTTTAATTAATTTGCAGTCTGATTCATGTGTCTAGTGATGTAGTTATTTAGTTATTACTTTCTGTTTCAAAATATTATATTTTTCTGGTTTATAATTTTATTTGTGGAATCAAACCTTGGGCCTCTTGCATGCTAGGCTGGCACTCTTCTTTGAGTCACTGTACCTCTCCCTACCACTGCCACCCTTTATTTTGAGACAGGGTCTAGAAACATTGTCCAGGCTGGCATGGAACTGGGGTCCCCTTGCCTCAGCTTTCTGAGTAGCTGGGATTGCACCCTGTTCCTACAATTTTTTTATTAGTTATATACATGACAGTACAATGACCTTGACATATCATACATTTGAATCACATGGAATACAATATCTCATTTTTCTGAGTATACAGGTTGCAGAATCACATTGGTCATGCATTCACATACCTACAATTTTTTTATATAAAAAAGTTGGTGGTCACTCCAAAAGAGAGATTAGTTTTAAGAAATGAAGAAATTTAAAAAGTTTGTGTTTATAACTTTCTTGAAGTGTTATGTCTCAGATATGTCATGAGTTTATTTTTATTCATATAGGTTAATGAACTTTCTGAGGAAGAAGAGGAAGATGAAAAGCTGGAACATATAGAAGAACTTCCAGAAGAGGGTACAGAAAAATCAAATGACGTGCCAGAGGTGGTACAATTAAGAATAACTGAAAACATCCTGGAATCAAGTAGTGTTACAGCATCAACAAGGTAAATATTTCAATTGATTGGACTTTACCTTTTGAGCATTTCCTTCTACACGTAGACTCCAACATGATATACAAATTATATCTACATGTAAAAGATTGACATTTTTGAATGAGAAACAAGAAGAAGAAAATTTAAGGAAGCACCCTTACTAAGGAGTTTTCAGTTATTAAAGTTATACCTTCCTTCAAAAATCAAACCTCTTTGGCCGAGGGTGTAGCTCAGTGGTAGAGCACTTGCCTAACATGTTTGAGGCCCTGGGTTCAACCCCTGGCAAAGTAAGAATTAAATACATAAATAAATAATCAGTCTTACATTTTTTTCATAAAATACGTTTTTTATATTACCTTGTTAAATATATAAAATTATAATTTTATATTAGCTTGGTAATATTTTGAAAATTCTACAGGTAGAATTGCTAGAGAAGCATATAGTAATTGAATTTACTTGTATTTCCAGCTTGTAGGCTACAACTAGGTTGAAGTCTGATTTTATTAAAATAGAGCTTTCTAATCCTTTTCATGATAAAACGAAAGTATTTACATGACAGGCTGAGTAAGTTTGGAAAATGGGGTAGGCACCATCCCATCAGATATCCAGGACCATTTTGTGCACTGTTTAGGAAACTTCAAAGAATTCAAGAACTTCTGAAACATAGTTTTGGATTTGCTAAATTCTCTGCTAGTTTTCTATATGGCTCCGTGGTTTACTGATCCCTTTTAATTAAAAGGGCAAATCTATCTCTTTTGTCTGTTAGATATTTTTTTTTTTTTATGTTTATTTTGATTCAATGCTGGTTAAAAAGCAGAGGAAATGATAATTTTGAGTCTGGAAAAAAAATGTCATTTAAAAATAACTGGTAATGCCAAGCACAGTGACTCATGCCTGTAATCGCAGCTACTTAGGAGGACAAGACAGGAGAATTGAAAGTTTAAGGCTAGCCTGGGCATATTAGAGGGATCCTATCTTAAAATAAAATAAAGGGCTGGGAATGTAGCTCAGTGGTGGAGTCCTTGTCTAGCATGCTTGAGGCTCTGAGGTCAGTCCTCAGTACTGCAAAACAAATAAACAAAAGAACACTGTTAGTAAGAATTTGGAAAATGAAATTGGCTAGAAGAACCAGTCTGCTAACAAAAGTGACTGGAAATTTGTTTATGATGGTCTCTTTATTATTATTATTATTATTAATTTTTAACACAATACCTTTAATTAATTAATTATGTGGTGCTGAGGATTGAACCCAGTGCCTCACATGTGCTAGGCGAGTGCTCTACCACTGAGCTACAACCTGGCCCCTCTTATATTATAATTATATATTGAGGTAGTTATTCAGTATATGTGTATATATTAACTTAATGGTCTTTTTATTTTTTTGACATTTTGAGTTAGCTAGCTTGTCAATATTGTACTGCTACAAAATAAACCTTTGTTCATTGGCCCTTTTCTCGTTTTGAATTGTTTGAATGGATTCTTTGGCCTCAAGGAGTGTACCTTTATGGGTTTTGGTATTTCTAGACCACTTCAGAAAGACTTGATCCAATTTAAATTGCCCTTAGCAATACATATACAGACAAATACAGATATGTTCTACCCCTGCACCAACCATTGTGCTGGAGATTGAACCCAGGTGTGTTCTGCCTTTTTATTTTTTGGTTTGAGACAGGGTTTTCCTAAGTTGTGGAGGCTGGCCTTGAATACCTAGCCAGGCTAGCAGTATTTTCTTGAGGAAATGACAGCAGTAGATTTAAATGAGTGTTTTAAATTTAGTTAAGTTAGAGCTATGTTCTCCAATAAGGTATGTACTTAAACTAATAACAAGTGTATGTACTTAAACTAATTAGAATTAAACACAATTTAAATTAAAAAAAAATTTTTTTGGTACCAGTGATTGAACACAGGAGTGATTTACCACTGAGCTAACTCCCCAGCCCTTTTTTCTATTATTTTATTTATATATATATATATATATATATATGTGTGTGTGTGTGTGTGTGTGTGTATATATATATTTGTAGTTGTAGATGGACAGAATGCCTTTATTTTGTTTATTTTATTATTATTTTTTATAGTTGTGTATGGACAGAATACCTTTATTTTATTTGTTTATATTTTTGTGATGCTGAGGATCGAACCCAGTGCCTCACACATGCTTGGCAAGCGCTTTGCCACTGAACTACAGCCCCAGGCCTTATTTGTTTATTTTTAGTTTGGGTATTGAGGATTAGACCCAGGGATGCTAACACGGAGTCCCATCCCTAGCCCTTTTTTATTTTGAGACAGAATCTCACTGAGTTGCTGAGGTTGGTCTTGAATTTTGAATCCTGGTGCCTCAGCCTTCCAAGTTGCTGAGATTAGGTATACATCACCACACCTGGCACCCTTTTTATTTTGAGATGGGACCTTGCTTAGTTGCTGAGGCTGGCTTCAAATTTGGCAATCCTCCTGTCTCAGCCTCTTGAATTATCGGGATTACAGGCATGTGTCACTGTGTCTAGTAAAATATTTTTAATGAAGTGATTGTGACCCCTCCCCCAACTTGTTACATGTGTATTAATATCTTCAATGTCTGGCTTAATGGATTCTCATAATTTGTTCTGCATTTAATCTGTTGCTATTATGATCTGAATGTTGGTGACTTCTCAGAATTCTTTTTTTTAATATTTATTTTTTAGTTGTAGTTGGACACAATACTTTTATTTTACTTGTTTATTTTTATGTGGTGCTGAGATTTGAACCCATGGCCTTGCACGTCTTAGGCGAGTGCTCTACCACTGAGCCCTGACTTCTCAAAATTTTTTTGCTGAGATCCTAATTGTCAAGGCCTTTGTATTAGTAGGAGGTGAGGCTTTTGGGAAGTGATTGGATTTGTTTTGGGTGAGGTAACCCTCATGGATGGGAACAGTGACCTTATAAAAGTGTCCTGAACGAGACCCTGCACTCCTGCTATGTGCAGTAAAAGGACAGCATGATTGGGCCCTCACCAGATACTGAATCACAATTTTGGTTATTATATAAAGTGGCAAAGAACTTGACTGAATTGTGTTCATGTAGGTATTTTGTGGAAGATGGGACTTTAGAGCCACAATTTTGGATTTTTGGCTGAGGAATATCTAAGGAAATTTTTTAAGAAGCTGCATATTTCTTCTTGACTCTTTATAGTTATAATATGAGAAGAGAGAAATGAAGATGGAATTATTAAAAGGGAAACAACTGAGATTTGAAAAATTTTCAGCCTATCCATACTATAAAGCAGAGAATGCATGTTAGGGAGAGAACACCAAGCTTGTGGCCATACTACAATCTGATAAGGGGATTAGCTAGCTAAACAGAAGTGAGGGCCTATTGTCTAAGACAAAGAGAGAGGAAAAAACCCCAATTTCTTGGTATTATAAAGTTCATTTAAAGTGCTTTTAATGCCTTGTTAAAACCCAGAAATTAGAAAGAACAAGAAATTGATAATTTTCTTGTGGATTGTTGAAGCTAGGACTTGGTTCTTCTGAGTTCATTTGTTCCTGATGGTTCAACTTTTCTTTTTTTTTTTTTTTACAAACAAATCAATCTTTTTACTAGAGAGGCATACCTCTCACACGTGTATTATTCAAATGTACTAACACATGAAAGATCACATCACCTTGTTTATGGATACATTTAATATCCCTTACCCTTCCCGACTTTCAAAACATAATAGTATACAAAATATAAAATATCTTAAATATTTATAAAAATCGCAAGAAAAAAATAGAATGTATGAAAATATTTTTATCTGAGTTCTCCCTCGCTGTTGAGAGACAGCTTAGTTTGCCTTAAGTTCATAACTGCTGAGTGGGTAGGAGTACGCCCTGCCTAATACTATTCTGTCCCGAAGGAGCTTAAATAAAACATAGTAGTTGCAGAAGAGGATGAGAGCCATGGAAAGTGTGTGATTCCACTTCTCCGACTGCCCCAAGGAATAGGGCTGGTAGAAGACAACACTGCCCTCAATAAGGATTAGTAGATTTAACAGCCTTAATGGACGATGAAACAGGAAATAAAAACGGGCATGGAATACATCTGAAGGCACTGCCACGTTATAAGGCCCTATGGCTCTATATAAACATCTGCTATGCTGCACCAGCACCCCTTGAGGCCATAGGGGGCAGAGTTGAGGCACTTTCCTATACCCCCTGATGCTGTACCACATAATTATAGTCTGTGAGAAGAAGATGAGCTCTACTATCTTGGTGGAAACAACAGAGAGGAACATAAACACCAAACAGATAGCCAAGGAAGAGGAGATTAAGTACTGAATGGCTTCGAAAGAGATTGACTAGGGTCCAACAAAGTACCCATCCACACAAAGTGAGAATCACCAAGCAAGCTGATATCAGAACCATGTAGTGAATCATAGATGCTGTACCCGCATTGGTGGCTTCGGAGATGAGGGCCCACACAAGCCTCCTTGCGAGCATCACCGTGATGAACGCTGCCAAGTGATAATCAATGAGATGAAAATTCAGTGAAGTACAAAAGGCAGGATGATTGTAAGGATACCACTATACGGTTTTATAGATGTTGATGTACTGAATGAACAGAGCAACCAAAAGGTAGATGAAGAAAAGAAATTCAAAAAGCAGGCTCCCATCCACAGGCAAGTCAGGAATTTGGCAATGACGCACAGGACCTGGGGTGATTAAGGCTGTGATAGGTGGAACTGGAAGGCCAATAGTGCTACTATTCCTGTTTCTCAAGCCTGTTCCATTGCCACAGCCCCCACCAACCAAAGTCTGTACAGAAGGTAAAGCTGAATGGCTTAGCTGCTGCTGACTAGGGCCCCTCCTTCCACCGGGCATGTCCGGGAACCATTCTGCTCCCAGTGCCACCTGTAGTTGCAACCCGCGTTAATGGTTGTCAACCTGTTTCAACTGCATGGAGGAGGCCCGGCAAGTGGGGCGGGATCCCTGGGAGGAGGAGGTGGCTTTTTTTTTTTTTTTTTTTTGGTTGTTCAAAACATTATGAGGAGGTGG